TGCGGACACTGCCGGTTGCCGGAACCGGTGCTGGAAGCCGTTGATGTTGTCAGCGGCTGCTGTCCAAGAGCTGAAGACGCTGAAGAGTTGGCCGTGNTCGAGCCATGTTGAGCGGCAACAGCAGCAGCGCTGGCAACAGACAGTCCAATTGCACTGGCTGTTTGCTGGTGTTGCTGCTGCAGCTGCAGCTGTCGGGCGTGCTGCCTCGACTGGAGCTGCACCAGGCGGGCAATCTCCGCCTCCATCTCCCGATCCAACAGGCGCCTGGTGCGCTCCAGGTGCGCCAGCTCCAGGGCCAAATCGGCCGGCCGCCGGCCGTTCTTTGCCCGCTGGTGGCGAAACTCGTACTGCAGAAACTCCATGAAGTTCTCCTGGAGGAAGCTGGGGTCGAGCTCGCGCTCAAAGTCGACAAAGAACTTCCAGCTGACGTCGAAGCGGCCGATCAGCGTGGGAAAGGTGTGCCGCAGCTTGTAGAAGAGGTAGATGATCAGCAGTATGAGGAAGGTGAGGTCCTTCAGGATCTGGCTGTAGGTGGCGTACAGCAGCTGCTGTTGTTGCTGCTGCTGTTGTTGCTGAGCATTGAAAAGCTCCAGCTCAGCTGCGGCGGCCGCTGCCGCTGATGTACTTTGATGGTGGTGCTGCTGTTGGTGGTGATGGGGTGATTGTACCGAGGAAGCAGTAGAAGATGGAGGAGGTGGTGGTGGAGGAGGTGGCGGAGTTTGCTGCTGATGATGATGATCTTGGGCATTGAGTTGTGCAAGGTAGAGCTGTTGTTGCTGCTGCTGCAGCTGGTTAGGTTGCTCTTGCAGGTGGACGGCAGAATTCGAAGAGGAGGAAGTCCTGGCCATCAGCTCCAGTTGCTGCTGCTGTTGATGGGGATGGTGGTTGTGGTGGTGGTGATTATTGTGCGAGATGGGGCTCATCTGAAGATCCTGCTCCACCTTGAGCAGTAGATCGTGAGGGGTGGCGCCGCCGTTTGGCTGCTGAGTAGGATTGGAAGCGCTGTGAGAGCCGGAGGAAGTGGAAGGATGAGTTGAAGGAGGCTGTGGAGCACCGTTGCCGCCGCCGTTGAGGATCACTGCCGGCGAGTTTTGTTGTTGTTGTTGTTGTTGCTGCTGCTGTTTGCTTTTAGCGAGAATGTGGTCCTTCTTGGAAGGCATTTGTATGGGGGTCCTATCCCCTGCTGAAGACGTGGTCGCATCAGGGTCAAGCGGAGGAACGTCAAAAATCTGCTCAAAGTTGAGACTCTCAAAGAGGCCCTTGTTGTAGAAGCGCGACAGCCAAAGGAGGATGGACTTGCCCTTGCCGTGATTTTGGTCGCTGCCTGCAAAAAATAGAAACAAAAACAGTGTTAGGTTTGATCCAGCAAACTAAACAGAGCATCTCAAAGAGCACTTACCAATCAGGACAGAGGCAAACCTGAAGAACTCCTTAAAGTACTGGTTGGTGTTGACCACAAAGTTGGCCAGATTCTGGCGGTTCATCTGATCGAAGCCGGTGATCTCGTCGGGCAGTGAGGCTGCTGCTGCCACCACTGCTGAGACGTTGTTGTTATTGTTGTTGTTGCTGTCAGTAGCTGCTAGCTTACTTCGACTTCCACGCCCTCCTCCTTTAGGTTTTAAGGAACCGCTGTTTGTGGTGGCGGCGGCGGCGGCGGCGGCCGCCGCAGCATTGGCAGCATCGTAGATAAGGCGGTTGATGTCATTGAGGATGATCAGCAGGTGCGACTGCTGGTTCGTGTCCAGGGAGAAGGACATTGTGAAACGAGGAAGAAGAGGTGTTCGTTGTTAGCTACAACCCAGCGCCGAAAAGGAGTGAGGGGCGCGACCATCGGAGGCGAGACCGGGATAGACAAAGCTAAACTCGATGTTCCGACTGATCAACCGGAGATGTTGGCGATGATGGAGGTGTAAAAGGAAGTTGAAGTGATTGGACCTTCCAAAAAACACACTTTGTTTTGTTGTTGTGATTTGTTGTTGTCGCTTCTATTTGGCTTCCAGGCTTTCATCAGCGGGAGAGAGAGAGAGAGAGAGAAAGAAGATCCGATCAAGCTGAGTTCTAAATGATGACAGTCGGCGGAGGTGGCAGCCTGCCAGTCAGTTCAGTTGGGGGCAGTTCTTCAGTCGGATTCAGTTCGGGTGGGCAGACCTGGCGGTGTTGGTGGTGCTGGTGCTGCTAACCTGATGACCTAGTGGCCGCGGCAGCACTGAGGACATTGAAAAGGCGATTCCTGGTACTGTTGGTGTGTACTATTGCAATAGCTGCTGCTGCTGCTGCTGTCCGTGCATGCCAGGTGAGTGGCATTGGCATTGGTGAGAATCCTCTGCACTCTCTCTCTCTCTCTCTCTCACTCTCTCTGTAGCCAAACAACACTCGCTGGCGCGAGCCGAGTGCTATTTCCACTCAACGGCTGCTGCTGAGAATTTGGGCGCCGCCGCCGCCGCTGAATCAACGGCAAAACTGGCGCACTGGCGCCCGCCAAAATTCTTTGAACAAGTTCTCTTTATTCGGATCATCTGTTCTTTCTTTGACTCGAAGATGATGAAGTACTTTTCGGGCTATTCTCCAGTTTGGACTCCTCTTTGCTCCTGCCAAAAAAGTACATTTTTGGGTAACATTTGAAGAGCACAAACAAAACTTGGCAATCATCACAACCTCTTTTACTCTGTTTGCCTAAAAGTTCAAAAACTTCCTCTATTTACTTTTTACGCATAAAAAGTGTAGTTTTATTTTGTCGCTCTTTTTGCTCGGCAAAAAAAATGGAAGAAAAATAGTCAATGTGAGTAGCGAAGTGTCTAAACACAAGCGAATCAAAGCTAGAGAAAGTAGTAGTAGCAGTAGTTGTAGGATCATTTAGAAATCGTCATCATCACTTAAAGCAAGTTAAGAGGAGTAATCTGTGCGCGCACAATTGTTTCGTCGGTAGGAAAATAGAGAGAGAGAGAAAAAGTAGCTTGGTAGCTTAGGTCATCATCGTCGGTAAGGGAGGTAATTGGGAGGGTTATGTGCAAAAGAGTTGTTGATGATAGGATGAAAAAAGAAAACGAAGAAGAAGAAGGAAAAGTAAAAGCGATGAACGGAGGAAGAGCTGAGTGAGAATAACCTTGTGTGACTGTTGTTGGTTGTGCAACTGGTAAACTTGTACGATACTTAAGTAAAAGAAAGGATGAGGAGGAGGGCTAAGGTCGGCGGTATGGGGATGAGAAGGTATGATTCTATGATTAGGAAAGGAAGGAGGAGAGAAAGGGTACCAGTTCCCTCTCACAATCTCTCAGTAGAAGTTGTTGAGCACCGAGGAGAGGTCGAGGTGCTGCTGGGCATTGTACAGGTCGTAGTGCAGCTGCTGGGGATCAGGCTCCTGCTGCTGCTGCTGCTGCTGCTCATGAATCATCTGACCTTGCTGTTGTTGCTGTTGCTGATGCTGAGGTGAACTTTCGCTTCCCGGTCCTTGCTGCTGCTGCTGCTGTCCTAGCCGCTGTACGACGACCACCTGCGTGGGACCTCCGCCCCCGCCGCCTCTCTCCGATGGGTCCTGGTGGACCAGGCTTTGAAGGGTGGCACCGCCCACTGTGTACTGCTGCTGTGGATGCCCCTGCTGCTGCTGCTGAACTAGACTGCTGACGTGACTGCCGCTCAGGCTGTTGGTGGGCGTTGTCAGCGGCACTGTGCTGCTCTGAAGCTGTTGTTGTTGGTGAAGGTGCGACAGCTGCTGCTGCTGATGAGGATGACTTTGGTAGCCATTGCTGGTCACAATGACATTACCTCCTCCTCCGCCTCCGCCACCGCCTCTTCCAAGCATTGAATTGGCCGTTGAGGAAATTGAGGTGAGAAGCTGTTGTTGCTGTTGCTGTTGTTGCTGCTGAAGAGAACTGCTACTTGTGATGATCAAGTTTTCCGCCTCCAAGTTCTGCGGCGACTGGCAGGGAGGGACCTGCTGCAGGGTTTGCAGTGTGCTGGTGATGGGCACCACCGCCGCAGGGGCCATCATCCGCAGATCGCGCACCACTTCGGTGGTGCTCATTGAGTTGAGGTGCAGCTGCTGCTGTTGTGAAGTAGGCATCAGTTTGATGGCGTTTTGTTGGTGTTGTTGCTGCTGCTGCTGCTGAAGTAGAACCGGCGGGTTGGTCTTGCGACGAAGTACTGCCGGCAGGGCAGAGGAGTTTTGCACCTGAATGGCCGTCACCGAGTTGCTGTTGTTGTTGTTGTTATTGGGGACAGGGCCCGAGTTGCTGAGGTTCACCAGGCTGCTGTAGTCGGCGACCTGGATGTGCACCTGCTGCTGTTGCTGTTGCTGCTGCTGAGGAAGTTGCTGTGAAATCTGCTGCTGCTGCTGCTGACTTCGAGGAGGTAACTGAGGCTGCTGTTGAATCTGATGAAGGTGCTGCTGCTGCTGCTGATTCGCCTGCATCAGCAGCTGCTCCACGTTGATGCCGTTGATGGAGAGGTGGGGCGGAATCTGCAACGTCCTACCATTCTCCAGTATGGCAATCGGCTGGTTCGCCACCACCGTCGTCTCCGGTCCTCCTGGCTCGCCGTAGTTGATCTTCAGAATGCCGCCCGAGCTTTCGCCACTCAGGCCAGCAGCACCGTCGGCGGAGGACATCGGTATCAGCAGTTGGGCGATTTGCTGCTGTTGATGTTGCTGCTGCTGCTGCTGCTGTTGCTGCTGCTGCGGAGGTAGAAACTGCAGCTGAAGTTGCTGAAGCTGATGCACCTGCTGCTGCTGCTGCTGTTCAGGCTGATCGGGCTGCTGCTGCTGCTGCTGCTGAAGTTGAAGTTGTATTTGTTGTTGCTGCTGTTGTTGTTGTTGCTGCTGTTGTTCTTGCAGCTTGACAGCATCGGCCGCTTTGGACTTGGCCGTCTGGCGGGCTCGCTTTGGCGTCGAGGCCTTCGCACCACCACCACCACCACCGCCTCTTCCTCCTCCTCTCCTTCCGCCACCACCCACTTCGGCGGCGATCGTCTCCAGCGCCTGATCCAGCTCGTCACCTTCTCCGCCGTCACCCTCTTTAGCTGTCTCAGCAGCTTCTGAGGCAGAGGTAGCAGCACTGGCCGCCGCCACCGGCCCCTTCTTCTTCTTGATCGGCCACTTGGGAATGGCAAAGCCGAGCTTGCGCAGGCGCTGCGCAATGACGATCCGCGAGATGGTAAAGTGCTCGGCGATCTCCTTCACCTTCGCCCGCGGATTCGCCTCCTTGTAGGCGCGCAGCTGCTCGTCGCTCACCTCCGGCCGCTCCACGGTGCGCACCCACTTGTCGACCACATACTGAAAGCCCAGCTTCGGCAGCAGCCGCGACAGCGTCCCCGTCGAGAGCTTGAACTTGGCGGCAATCTGCCGGAGGTTGACCGACGGGCTGCCGCTGACAAAGTCGATGATCTCCTTCCCTTTGGCGTCATCCACCTTCTGCGGCCGCCCGCTCCGATTTTTGTCGCCCAGCTTAAAGTCCTTCTGCTCAAAACGGCGGTACCAGGTGTAGACGGAGGTCTTGTTGATGAAGCCGGCGCCGTGGATGGAGTTCAGGTACCTGGGGTGGAAGAGAGTTTGTTAGTTTCGAAAAGGAGTTCTTCTAAATCAAAAGAAGCACTTACCGATTCGCCTCGCCGACGCTGAACTTGGCCTTGTAGCAGCGGAGAATCAGCTTCCGCTTCTCGCAGCGGTCCAGACAGGTGGTGGTAGTCGAGCAGATGGAGTTCGCCTCCAAAAGACCGCTGGAAAGGGGCTCACCGCCTTCACNGTTCTTCTAAATCAAAAGAAGCACTTACCGATTCGCCTCGCCGACGCTGAACTTGGCCTTGTAGCAGCGGAGAATCAGTTTCCGCTTCTCGCAGCGGTCCAGACAGGTGGTCGTCNCCGCCAGCGATCGCCTGAGCATCCACTCCTTCAGAGTTTGGAGTTTGATTTGCTGATGGATTTGTTGTGGATGACTGTCCGTCTCCACCGCTGACCACCGGGTAGGTGGTCACCACCCGCTTGTTCTTCACGGCGCCCTTCTCCTCGGCCGCCCTCGCCTCCGACACCGCCAGCTCCGCCTCGAGGACCTCGTCGAGGGGCGGCGGGTCCGCTGGAATGGGCTTCCGCCTCGGCCGCCGGAAGACCCACTGCAGCTTGACGAAGTCGTTAAAGTCCACCGGCGGCTCGCGTTCGCGAAAGACCGCGTACAGCTTCTTCACGGCGCCCTCCGTCAGGAAGGTCCCCTTACTGCCGTAGGTCTTGTTGAGGTGCAGCGAGGCGGCCTTCGGCGTCCGGTTCTCCATGAAGCAGTGGAAGCAGATCAGGCGCTTGTAGAGGTTCACCGTCTCCTTGCTCCACTGGTCCATGCAGTCCATGGTGGTGGTGGTGGTAAGGGTGATTTGTTGGTTTGACTGAAATCAAAGTCAGAAGTTAAGTCCCAGTCGTTTAGAGATTCACATTGAGAGAGAGAGAGAGAGAGAGA